TAATTTACCCCTCTCGAGTTTTCATTGAACCTATTTAACTAATTAAATTACACATTTCTATGCGAATCAATTTTAGTTAAACGAAATACTAGTTCTAAGAATTCATATTGTGATTGTAATAATCAATATATGTATTTCTAAACGTCATACTAATTTACTAAATTTTACTATATGGTCTAAATCTTAAACTCGTCTCTCGATTTGTAAGATACTCGTATAATNCTCAAACTCATATCTCGATTCGTAAGAGATCACATAATCATCAAATTATTGATCAGGTAATTTAATACATTAAACTCATAGAAAAACTAACACATATAAGAATAAATCACATAAATTTTAAATAAAAAAAAAAGATCACAAGTCGACTACATCGTTTTTCCTAATATAAAATTTAGTTATTCATATTGTAAAAATAATAATACGCAAAAGTGAAAAGATATCATCAAAAATTAACGAAACGTGAAATTTCTCGTGTATGCGGTCTTATTTCTTCTCTCTTTTTTCTTTCTCTCTCTCTTGTCTTTCTTTCTCTTTCCTTTTTCTGCTGCTTTTCCCTGTCGTCGATTTCTTCCCGTATGTGTATTCTCTCCTCCTCTTTTTTCTCTCTTTTCTCACCTTTCTTTTGTCTGCCCTGCGTAAATGTGTGTGTGTATATATATATATGAACTATGCTACTTGTACAATGAATTTGATAATAAGTTTGACAATGTGTGAGTTGGCAGACATTATGCCCATTGATTTGAAAAATTGTTTTTGAATTCAATGACAATGATCTATACATCCCACACATTGTCAAAATCATTGTGCAAATTCATTGTACAAGTAGTTTAATTCTATATATATATATGTTAAATTTGGGCCTCTAATTAAAATTTTCAATACAAGTTCATTGAAGCCGATTTAACTCCAACCCGTTTAATGTATTATTTCACTCCAAAGTTTCATCTTTAGATTTTTTGTCATTTTTCGCCGCTTTTGTATTATTTTCTCTAATTCTTAATTAAACATAAATTTTTACTTACATAGTACAATATAACATAAATTAGGTGAAATTTTATCCAAAAGACAATAAAATATCATGAACAAATATAGAAACTACACTTATGAGCTGATAACTTGGTTCCTTGTCCATCAGGCAAATGGTTATTTCCTCTGATTTATAGACTGCTTAAAAAAGTTTACTTATAAGCGATAAGAATATTTGAATAGGTAAGTTTGAAATTCAAGTTGGCATTCCTTCCACTTGTCTTCTTACTCGAGCTAGAATTTTTTTAGTGTATATTGGGGATAATTCAAAATGGACTAACTAAGCCAATTCAAAAGAAATCATCTGCGAGTATTGGACTCAGTGGGATCCTTTCTTGATTTATCTCATATATTACCCACGATAGTTTGAGATAAGCTCTATTTCCTTAATGATATTAATCACCAACGGAGATTAACATTGGTTTAAGTGACATCACTTGTATTATTAAATAGCAGGTTCAATTAAATATAAGAATTTGTGATTCATTTATTATGACTTATCGCATTTTGACACCTAGGCTGCTGTTCTATCATTGCTGGTGCTCTATCATCACTGGTGCTAAGTAGTATTTGTCACGAGTTATAAACCCCTCCAAAGTTGTACTCTTTTTTCCTTTTTTAAATTAATGAAACGTTCTGCTACATGTGACTAGTGTTCTAAATGGCGTGTTGAGTGCTGCCATTGCTCGACCAAGCCTAAGACCTATGCACTAATTTAGTGGTCAACGAAAGCGTGGACCACTTTAAGGTGCACCTAGGCTCGCATAAGGGCAGCTTGAAGCGTATTACTATTATTATTATTATTTTTACAGTACGTAAAATTTTCAATTTTTAGGTTAATTGGATTGAAAGACCCAAAAATTAATAATTATAAACATTTCAACTTTTAAGCCAATGGATTGAAAGGTCCTAAAGGTTGATTATCCACTTATTGGTCCACTAATTTATGGAGGGCATCTCCAATGATTTTGTTGTAAACTTTCGATGTGGAATAAGAATTCATTTGGTTTGATTGTAGTACACCGTACCTTGATTTGACTGTAATGTATTATAGTTTTGGTTTGGTTGTAATGTATTGTACATTTGGTTTGGTTGTAGTGTATTGTACTACTGTATAAATAGTTAATTATATTTTATTAAGTTAATTAATCATTTTCCTATCTTTTACTAATTTATAAAAAGTAAAAACTCTTCAATTATTTCAATTTAGCACTATTACAATATATCTTGTTTATTGTTCGAAAATATATTTATTTAAACTCTTAAAATTGCATTTAGTATTATAATTATGTATTATTAAATGATTTTTAATTGATTAAAAATTTAAAATAATATTAAAATAAAAAAATTACGCTTTTTTTACGCTTAAATCTCGCCTATAAACGCATCAATTGAAACTTGATTTTCACGCATTACACTTTTTAGAACACTGTACGTGACTCTAATTTATATAAAAAATAGAGTAGCTTCTCATATCTCGCTTTTAGCTTTTTCACTTATTTATTATTAAAATACCACTATCTTATTCAGAAAACACTTTTTTCGGTCTTAAACTACAGGTGAAAGCGGGTTGCAGATATGGTTCTGCTATGCATCATCCACCACTTAAAATTGTATTATTTAAGTGCTTACTGCTTGCCAAAAATCCTACTTCTACAATTGGTAGGTCACCAAGTTATTCAACTAAGTCGTGTTTTCCGTGGTTTTATATCGGCACAATGAATCATTTTTATTTATTAAATTCGCAAATGCTGATTTTAAAATAAGCCATTGTTTGATTCCAAATTTTTTCAAAATACAATTTTCACTCTTTTCTTCTCAATCATACATTCTTTAATAAAATAATATTACATGCAATCCAAAAACTTTTCCTTTATTTTTGACCACACATTTTCTATCAATTTACTATTTCAAAATGCATTTTACATAAAAAAAAATAAAATAAAAATGGAGCTTTAACAAACAACCCTTTATTTTGAAGTACAATAATATAAAATAAAACCTTATAAATTAAACAAGTAATTATCGTTGGTGGTTGTATGACTCAACAATTAAAAACTTTTAGTGTTGCATACATAAGATTTCATCACAACTGTTCCAAGTTTTTAATTGTCAGTCGCGTGGCATTATCAAAGTATTGATCGTGTCCCTTTTCATTACGATAAAACAAGGTAATATTATTTATTACACCCCTTTTACTTTCTTACATGAGTCACTAAGCACATTGAAGTCGATAACAATATTACTAGCATTCTTAAATGTAACTTCAAACTTAGCCTAGCCCATAGATCTCATAATGAGAAAAATTTCATAATTGCAATAGTTTAAGAATACAATTTCTTGATCAATAAACTTGAAAAAAATTTCAAAAATCAGGTGGTTTGTGATTGTTACCTGTTTTGGTAAATGATTGTGACCTATCAATTATGTGATGAATTGTACCATAATCTATATGTGATATGTTAATCACGTGATCACTTGATTTTCGGGGGGAAAAAAGTTAATGCCTAAATAATGAAATTAAAACTTAAAAAAATATAATTTCTTGTAATTTTTTCAATTGGATATTCAAGTTAGATTAATTAATGTTGTTTACCTAAATAAATAGTAATAAATGTGATGTAATGTAATGTAAGATTAGATGCTTTAAATCTGCACAACCAATAGACCTAATTTGAATAGGTATCCAAATGGAGTGAATGTAGTGGTCCATTTTGTCAAATTACTTTACAACTAATTAAATTCCATATAATGTTGTTTAGTGTGTTGGAAAAGTGGTTTGTCTTCAATTTGGTATAATTAGTTACAACTTCTTGAATCACTTTAACTTGTACTTCAAACCAACTCCACCTTTCATTTCTTTCCAAATTTCAAACCACTTTATCCCTCTAGATTCCTATTTCTCTCTTTCTTTTTCATTGAAACTTAACAATTTAAATGAACGGTTCGATTTGTCTAAAAATTCAAACGAGCATTCACATTTCAAGATTGTTTTTTTTCTCAAACGAATTGTCAACTTACAGAGACGCGCTATTAAATAGTAAGGTTTTGATTTATTCTTCTTGACAAAGTTAATTGTTTAAAATGTAATCCAAGTCTGAATAAAAGGAATAGTTGAATTATTGCCAATCATTAGCTCTTTTTAAGCATCTTTTAATTTTCATTCATATTGTTAACTTTTTAATACCTTGATTTACAAGTTAAGAACCACTGCAACAAACAACTCATTTTCATAGGTTTAAATCTTAAGATTCCAAAATTGATTCTTTACTTGCATCTAGAAGGTAGGTTATCATGGGTTAGCATTAATTAATAATTAATAATGTAATTTTCATTCACTAATATTAATCCAAAATTCAGTGGAACTTCTCCTAATTTTCCTAATATTTCGAACACTGAGAAAAATGATTTACAAAAAATCGATAACATGACACATCAATTCATCAGTATATAACAAATTTAATTCAAATATCGAGACTCGTCGTGTTTGACTCTGTTAATTCTTGGATATGGATTTTAAGTTTAGACTAAAAAGAAGAATACCCAGAAGTCAATTTCGGCTTGTTGGTTTGGTGAACCCACTTCCCCCCAATTTGAAGTTTAATTTTCAAAGTTCAAACCAATTTGAGTATTTTGGATTATCCAATCCTTTCTACACACCAAACCAAATCGCCTAACGTATAGCCCTCTTCCACATACTTTGTACAAAAAAAAAAAATATTGCCACGTGAAAAAAGCACCTTATGCCAAGTAGTTGCCGTTCACCGACTCCAGTTGTCTAATTCCTCCCCATATACAGTTTGCCACGTTATTAAATTCTCGTTAAAGGAACAGTGTATTCTAGGGAGAGGTAGAGATGGTGAGAGGCCAACTAATTTGGACACACCTTTCATATAAATAGGCCTCATCCAAATAAGCACCCACACCTCATCTAAACTTTCTTCTCTCATTCAATTTTACTTCTCTCAAAAATGGAGTGGACCAGAGGGCACGTTATAGGCCGCGGCGCCACCGCCACAGTGTCGATAGCCACTTCAAGTTTGGGGGACGTGTTAGCTGTCAAATCGGTAGAGCTATTGAAATCCGAGTTCTTGAAAAGGGAGGAAAAGATTTTGTCCGCTTTGAGTAGTCCTTTTGTAGTTGGCTACATAGGGTGTGATGTTACTCGATACAACAATACAATCATGTTCGATTTGATGATGGAGTACGCTCGTTATGGTTCGCTTGTGGACGCCATTCACAAGTGTGGCGGCTGCCTTGATGAACCCATGATCAGTCACTACACAAGCCATATTGTCCACGGATTGGAATATCTCCATTCAACTGGTGTAGTGCATTGTGATATCAAGGGGAGAAACATTCTGATAGGAGAAGATGGTGCCAAAATTTCCGATTTTGGTTGTGCCAAGAGAATTAAAAATCCAGGGGAAAGTACAAGGGATGATAGAGAAGCGTGGATAGGAGGCACACCGGCGTTCATGGCTCCGGAAGTAGCAAGAGGGGAGGAGCAGGGATTTCCAGCTGATATTTGGGCATTAGGATGCACGATTATTGAAATGGCGACTGGCGGTTCGCCTTGGCCTAATCTTACCCATCCATCATCACTACTTTATCGAATTGCCTTGTCGGAAGAATTACCGGAGTTTCCAGCCTTCCTTTCGGACAAAGCTAAGGACTTCTTGAATAAGTGCTTAAGAAGGGATCCAAAAGAGAGATGGACAGCTACACAACTTGTTAAACATCCATTTCTTGAGGAATTATCCAGTGTGAAGAAATCAACAAACGACGACACTGCTGACTCACCAACAAGTATTCTTGATCACGGTATTTGGAGCTTCATCGATGAATCAGAAACTCCGTACAATCATAGTCGAACATACAGTACCTTGAATTCTCCAAACCAAATATTGAAACAGTTGTCGATGAATTCAGGATCGATGGTTAACTGGAATAGGGAAGACAGTTGGATAACAATTAGAGACAGTGAAGATAACAATATTAGGCGGATTCAATGACAGATAATGATAAATATTAGTTGTCAGATAGCAGGGATAGTAATTTTCTGAGAACACATTGTTGTACAGATTTCAACCTCAATTTTGGTATTGATTTATTTCTTTATCTACTGTTTTCAACCTTATCATATGGCTTTTTTCTTTTATAATATATACTGGTTTATGCGCTTATTCCTACGATTTTTCATCCTTTTTTTCTCTACTGGTTTATGACGTTATTTGTAAGGTTTCCCTTTCCCTTTTCTTGACCTTTTGTAAGGTTTTTCCTTTTCACATTGATTGGTTTTAGACCTTGTTCTAATGTTTCATTTATCAACCAAATTTTGACCTTATTGTCAAGGTTCTCTTTATTGATCGGTTCTTAGCCTTGTTATTGTCAAGGTTGACTTTATCGATCGATTTCTAACCTTGCACAAGGTTCCTTCATTGCTCCCTGGTTCTTGACATTGTTTCCGTGGTTTTCTCTTTAATAATCGGTTCTTGGCCTTTCCTAAGGTTATATTTATCCACCAATTCTTGATCATGTCCCGAGTATTTTTCTTTTCACTTCCGCAATAAAGTTAAGAATTGATTGCATACATACATTATTTCCTTCCTGTTAGGTTCTTAATCCATCAACAATGACATCAAATGCAGTCAAACTAATACTTAATTATGATTCGAGCTATGTTCATGCGTACTTCATCTTAAAGTAACAAAAATGTCACTATATTTTCAATATTGGTACGATAGACCTAATGCAACTATAATACAGATCTGATGCGTTAGTCCAATCATGAGCTTCTTAACTTCACCAAATTCGGAACCATCTTTGTCATTGATAACCTAGTAACGGAAGGGTTTGATGAAAGCTCGGCACAGGTCGGACGAGTCCAAGTTATGTACGTTACTTCAAATTTAGATGGATTTAATACTCATGTTCTAATATCAATTGTCTTTACCAACGAGGAGGACAAAGGCAATGCTCTTGAAATACAAGAAAGTAGCACTCAGTTTGAGAGTGTGACAGAAGTGTCAGTAATGAATAGCTTTCGTTTTGCACATGGTTATGTTAGTTTTGAGACCATTCATTATGACTCTACAATTTACTATGCAATCATCCAGTGTAACATTATTCTATTACACTGTTAAGAGATTTCTGATTTCGAACTGTTTGAGCCGTAACAATATATTTATCCATCCCTAGTATTCAAATTTATTTTTATTATGAAGCAAGTTATTGTAGTGTGTTAAAATTTCCAAGTATCCCAAAGTGGGAAAACACCATATTATAAGACTTAATCAACAATATTAAATGTTAACACTATTATTGTAAAAGATCTTCTTTTTCTTTAATTTTTTTGAATATCCATTATCTAGAATACAAAGAATAAACCGACGAGTTTAAAATCAACAATATTAAATGTTAACACTATTATTGTAAAAGATCTTCTTTTTCTTTAATTTTTTTGAATATCCATTATCTAGAATACAAAGAATAGACCAACGAGTTTAAAGTCAAGTAAATATAACGGTGCACACAACCATGTAGATTGAGTCTTATATCCTCCAAGAAGATTTTATCTAGTATTTCGGATGAATTTTGATCGGCAATTCATTTAATGCTCGTTGATCAAATTTCAATTTTAACAATACATTTTATGGGATCCACAACTTTTCAATAACATATTTTGTTAACTTTATTAACATTTACTAAAACTTTTATCAATAGGTTCATCTAAAAAAACCCATTAATCTTCATCGAATTGTGTGTTATGAAGTGACGGTAATATTTGGCGAAAAAGGATGACATATGAATGCTCTGCAACTCAAATTAAAAATATTTAACCCTTATTGGACACACATTCTTTCAATATACATTCTTTCAAAACTCATTTTCAACCACACATTTTTCAATAAAATAATATTTCATATCACATCAATAATTTTTCTTTACTTTTTAACCACATATTCCAATTATATCACTATTTAAAATACATTCTTTTTTCAATAATATACATCAAACACTCCCTTAATAGTCTGTAGACTCAAGCTTCTAGCTTTGTAAAAACTCACGCCTATTCCATGTGAGTCAGTTGACACCAATCCAATTTTGTAAAAAACAACCCCCGTGAACAAACTCTTTGTCAAGTTCTAAAAATACAGTGGGTAGCCACCCTTCCCTGGAACATGAGCTTTAGCTTAAGTAGCCGCCGGTGACCCATACCTTCACTCGAGTCACATGTCATATTAATTAGTCTCTATAATTGCTTTTATCATTTTTTTATTAATTAAAAATATCTTTATATAAAGATAATTGACCATCAATTGTCCAATTCAACATTAATAGTTTATAAGATGGTGCAATGTATCATTGTCATTTGATGTTAGACTTTGAACAACAATATGAACAATAATACATAAATATTAAACTAATACTTAATTATGATTCTAGCTATGTTCATACAACAAAAAATGTCAATATATTTTCAATATTGGTACGGTGGACCTAATGCAACTATAATACAGATAAGATGCGTCAGTCTAATGAGCTTATTAACTTCACAAATTTGGAACCATCTTTGTCATTGATGAGACATTAACGGAAGGGTTTGACGAAAACTCAGCACATGTTGGACGAGTCCAAGTTATTTATTTTACTTCGGCTTTAGATGGATTTAATACTCATGTTCTAATATCAATTGACAAAGGCAACGCTCTTCAAATACAAAAAAAGTAGTGCTCAGTTTGAGAGTGTGAGAGAAGTGGCAGTGATGGACGGAACTAGGAAATTTCGTCATGCACATGGTTATATTAGTTTTGAGACCATTCATTATGACTACAATTTACTATACAATCAAGAGTTTTGCTATGCAAACATAATGGTTGACATAGGAGATGACACAACACACACACATGGGGGAAGTCGTCATTATTTAATTTAGGTCGGGACCCACATGCAATGTGAGAGGTTGGTCAACCTCTACGTCAAGCATTATGTTCATTTAGTTTAATTCTACAATCATCCAATGTAACGTTATTCTATTACACTTAAGAGATTTCCGATTTCGAATTGTTTGAGCCGTAACAATATATTTTTATTTATCCCTAGTATTCAAATTTATTTTTATCATGAAGCAAGTTATTGCAGTGTGTTAAAATTTCCAAGTAGCCCAAATTGGGAAAACACCATATTATAACTTACTCAACAATATTAAATGTTAACACTATGATCGTAAAAGACCTTCATCTTTAACAAGTTGGTATAGATCATCTCAACTTTAATTTTTTGAATATCCATTATCTAGAATACAAAGCATAAACCAACGAGTTTAATGTCAAGTAAATATAACGGTGCACACAACCATGTAGATTGAGTCTTATATCCTCCAAGAAGATTTTATCTAGTATTTCGGATGAATTCTAATAGGCAATTAATTTAATGCTCGTTGATCAAATTTCAATTTTAACAATACATTTTATTAGGGCTGGACATTTTCCGGTTCGGTTCGATTCTGAAGAGAACTGAACCGAATCGGAATTTTCGGTTGGGTTGTGTTCGGTTCTGTTCAGTTCCCAAAACCCGTACATTAATTAATTTTTTTATATTTACGACAACACTACATTAATTCGATTATGATATGTTCAATATTAACTCTTACAAATAATGTAGTTTAATCTGGTGATATCTTTTGCACATTTCTTTGTTGAGTTCTTCATAAATTTGACTCTTAAAATCACAAAAAGAAGAAGATAGCGAGCTCGCAATAATAGAACGGCCGAAACGACACTACGGTAGAATAAGAGATTTGGGTAAAATTTAGGTCAATTTGATTAAGTTAGACTTGACTGAAAATTGAAAATAGTAAAATCATATTTTAGGTTTNTGAAAATTGAAAATAATAAAATATTTAAAGTTTGAGCTAAATTAATTAGTTAGCAAATTCATTTAGAAAAAAAAATAATTTGACTTATTTAAGACAAAAAAAATTAAAAAATTAGGGTGATTTGGTTATTCGTACTAGGTCTAGAACCAAGATTGAACCGAACCCATCGATTCTTGATTTAGATACCTGTTCAGATATTTACTTTAAGAAGAACCGCTCGGTTTGGTTCGGTTCGATTCGAGAGTTTTGTCCAACCATACATTTTATAGGATCTACAACTTTTCAATAATATTTTGTTAACTTTATTAACATTTACTAAAACTTTTATCAATAAATATATGTTCGTCGAAAAAACCCATTAATCTTCGTCGAACTGTGTTTTATGAAGTGACGGTAATATTTAGCGAAAAAGGAAGACATGTGAATGCTCTACAACTCAAATTAAAAATATTTAATAGTCTGTAGGCTCAAACTCAAGCCTATTCCATGTGAGTCAATTGACACCAACCCAATCTTTAAAAAAAACAAGCCCCGTGAACAAACTCTTTGTCAAGTTCTAAGAACACAGCTGGTAGTTGCCCTTCCCTTGAACACGAGCTTTAGCCGCCGGTGACATACGTACCTTCACTCGAGTCACATTTCATATTAATTATACAAAGACTATTAACCATCGATTGTCCAATTCAATCTCGATAATATCTAATAGATAATAAAAGTGGATCTTTCAATATTAATAGTTTATAAGATGGGACAATGTATCATTGTCATTCGACGTTAGACTTTGAACAACTATACATAAATATTAACTGTATATAATTAATAATAAACACACAAAAATCGTGTTTTAAATTAATTTCACCCTCAGTTTCCCTATAGAATATTAAATACCTACTCCATTACTGTTTTTCTTCAGCTAATCAATAATCCATCAATGGCATCTTCTTGCAGCTGTCAAGGCCTTCTTCAACCCAATTTCTCTAAAGGATTTCAGCCTTTAGGCTCCCATCGATTACATTATCATCCAACAACATCAAATCTGAAAAATGGAGGCTCGTTTTTAGGCGATTCGAATTTGAAATATATTCAAACCTTACGAACGAACAAAGGATCGAAGAGGTAAGCAATAGCTTCTCAACTTTGTTATTACTTCTGTTTTGTAATTTGATTGCGAGTTGAGAGATGTAATTTGTGCGCAGAAGGGAGTTGGTAGGTGAAGCCACTCCAGATCCAGAAGTAGCGAATCATCTTCTTTCTTTCTGGCCCTCTGATAACCCATGGTAATTATCAATATTTTTACAACTAATATATTTGTGTTGTATAAAAAAATTGATCTGATCTTATAAATATTGTGATAGGTTCGCCGGGATTGCCGGATTTATGGTGACAGTTCCTTTTTTGGCCCAAAGGTTATTAACGTTGACAAGTAAGAATCAACGAACAACATTTTCTACCTCAATCAAGTTTAATATGTAATTTTTTGTTGATTAGTTGCCGTAATCGTGTACAGAGGAGGTGGATCTGGCGGCTCAGACGGTGGAGAAAATAGCCGACGCCGTAGAGAAGGTGGCGGAGGAAGTCGATAAAGCCGCAGAAAATATAGCAGAGTCACTCCCTGAAGGTGCCCTGAAAAATGTTGTTCATTTAGTTGAAGATCTGGCTGAGGAAACAGCAAAGGATGCTCAAAAAGTTGAAGATTTGATGGACAAGGTTGGTTGATTTTAGCTTAATTTATTGAGTAATGTTATTCATCCCAGTGGGGATGAAAACATAATTTATGTGACTTTAAATGATAGGTGAACACATATCATTTAACGCCACATTAACGTTATATAGACTGTGTATTCATCCCAGTGAAAATGATTAGCATTACTCTAATTTATTATTTGACTATCTACTTTTTTCTAGGTGTTAATTATTAAAGTTAAAAATCTTTTGGACTTCAAAAAAAGTTGGTTGCATGTGCCATTTAACTCAATAATTAATTGCAATGCATGTGAAACAGTATTGAAATTCCACTTTGATATCATCTTTTATGTAATAAATAATTAAACTTGCCGACCATGCCAACTATGACACTTTTTGTTTTTTTATTTGATAATTGTGGATGTCGGGGTCAGCTTGCGCGTGCTTCGACTAATCAACGAGATTTAAGGTCGAGTACTCACCTCAGGGACCCTGAGCGAACTCGAACGGGTGACACTTTAGAAGTGTTTTTTTTTTTTTTTTAAAGCGACTTCTTCTAAAAGCTTTATAATTCGATAACGAACCTTAAGAAAATAGGTTGTACTATGTGTATACAATGGTGTACACGTAGCATTATTCTAAGAAAATTATAACAATTTTTTAATTTCAGAAGTAATTTTTGAATTTGTAAAAATCATGTCAAACAGTCCTGAGATGTGTCGTTTGCACTAAATTTTTGATACAATAACATTAGTTCTGGTTAGCAATTGAAAAATCAACATGCAAAAATAAAGTCAATATTGGCGTTTTTCCATTTGCTAACTTGTCAACTCTCCAGAAGTGAATTTAAGAATATTATAATTTTTTAAAACAAGTTGTCATTAATTTTATTTAAATTTTTTTTTTTTTGTCTTTATTTTTTTGTGATTGAATTTTCAGATTGAAGAAATTGACGACAAAGTGGAGGCATATTTCAGCAATCAATCTAAAGACAACCCAAGTATCTAAGATGGTGTAGTTGAAGATGATTTTCTATCCCTTTTTCTCCTTTCTAGCGTTCAAAACTTTTAGTGCTAGTGTGTACTCTTATGCATTTTCTCACTACGTAATTTGAAATTTTTTTAAATTTAATTCCTCTTTAGTAGTCCCACACAATATTCATGTACACTTATACTATGAGGAATGGTTCGTTGTGTTAGCTTACTCTAAAAATATGGTATGTTGTGAACGAATACGAGTACTTTTCGACACCATTCGAGGTTTCAAATAATGTCATTCTAATTACTTGTTAATAATAGTTCATTGACGTCTCTATAATAGTCAATTATTTCAAGAGAGGTTCATGTAATTTGCTCTTACATAAATTTTATTCCTTATAATCATAGAATTACTATTTGTAAAACTAATAAATAATAGCAAAGTTCTCACAATATTCATGTACATGTGCATCTATGTTCCAGTGTTCTAAAAAGAACGTTTAGACAACTCCAAGACTTCGCTAGCCACATTGACCATGCAACCCCTACATCTACTCAGGCTCGTAAAAATTTTAAACTTGTCTTTACCAACTATTTACACTTTACACTTTTTAAAACGTTGGTACTTAATAATTGCATAAATACACAGAAAATTAGGGTATGATGAATTCTTGGATTCAAAATTTTGGATTTGAAATTCTTGAAGAGAGTGTATTTATTGGAAATAAATTATAATATTAATATACACGTGAATAACTGAATATAACAATCACTTATTTCGATAGGACATTTTTTCAAATAAACCATTATAACTCAGAGAGCTTTATTGAACTAACATCAACACAGAAAATAAACAATATGTGAATCTCTTCTTGTCCAATTTCAAGCCGTGACTGCAAAATGTAATGAACCAGACATGAGAATGCAAGCTTATTTTCTACCTTCCCGACATGAGATTTACGAGACCCTGGTTTCCATAGAAAGATGCGACATCCCAGTCTTCTGTTGTAGATGAAAGTGTCATCAATGCAACTACGATGGATCTCATGCTTGGTCGTAGTTGAGGATTTTCGTGCGTACAAGCTCTGGCAAGTTGGGCCATCTAAAAGCAAATAGACAAATGTTTTATACTCATAAAAAAATAAAAACTACAAAAAGTAACAGTGGTTTAGATATCTTTTGCACCTTACGGGCTGAGTCGATGGGGTAATTATCTCCAAGTCTAGGGTCAATGAGTTTGCGGAGATCATCACTTGGATCTGGCTCATTAAGAACTTCTTCAAACTATGATCACCAAGGATTAGTCCATGAAAAGAAAACACGACGCAGTTATATCTTTGGAATCTAAATAATTGAACAAGCAGAAATCTTGAAACATGTTTTTGTATTCAAAACAAGAAATTGTACAACTTACCAAGGCAACAAGGCCCTTTGAATCAGCAAGGGAACCGTTTGCCTTAACTATGGCCTCCTTGGCTGAGATTAATTCATATATGACGACACCAAAAGCATAGACATCTACTTTAGGAGAAACATCACCATACTGAGCATACCTGCATGCATGCAGAATCATGCCAATCACTTTCAGCAGATCAATCAGCAAACGTACATTTTTTATCCGGAAAATTACATCTGTGACTATCAATTGGTTTATTTCTGTGGGGCTAAATTGGTAGAACTGAAGAAAAAGTTTTCCTTTCAGAAGAGCAAATTTTCCCAATTCATTTTCGTATAATCAATTGATCTATGCTACTTTCAAAAAATCAGCAACTACCCCACTGTAATTTCTCTCATCCCTTATAATTGCCCTTTCATCTGGAGGTAATTCGATGATTTTTGGCACCCCGTGAGTCATTTGCTTTCTGAAAACAAAGGGAGTAACCAAATAGTTTGGAAAACATTGGACAAGTTTCTGTGTTTTGTTAAAGAAAAAAATTAATTAGCAAGCACGTTAACATCTCAAAAGCATTTAGGTATTCAAGTCATAAATGACACATCTATCAACAGATAAAATAAAATGAAAATTGTTTAACTTAGAGACCTGGATGAGATTTCCATATCAGCTAACAGAATTTGTAATATATAAATAACACATGATATGTACTAGAGGACTTACTCTGGCGGCATGTACCCAAATGTACCTACAAGACGTCCCGTTGGCAAAGAATTACTTCCAACTTCAGTTAGTTTTGTTAAACCAAAGTCTGCAACCTGCAGTCCAAATGATCTATTATTTGTGGTTATGAAAAATACTTTACATGTTCAAATGTCAAACCTGAGGTCACTGTACTACCTTCGCATGGAAGTTCTTGTCTATCAAAATATTTGCCGGTTTGATATCACGGTGGATGTACACCGGAACGGTGTGTTCATGAATATATTCCAGGCCTCTTGCTGAATCAAGAGCAATTTGCACCCTAGTTGACCATGGCAGTGGATCCCTGCCTGCAAAGAAAAATGATGTAACAGACATTTATGAATGCACAGTTATTGCATCAACTATATATTTTATAATTCAGTGCACCTGAGCCACGCAGATGTTGGCTTAAGTTCCCATTCTCAATGAATTCATATACAAGGAAGAGAGAGCCCTCAACACAATATCCAATCAAGCGCACCTGCAACCAGAATGGACAATAAAATCAACAATGCCAGCAAAATCAACCATAACTGTTGCTTGAAATGAACATCCAGGTTAAAAATGACATAAGTTGTACTATAACAGCAGAACTCATATATGAAAATAGCTATTGCTTAAAATTTGAACTCAGCAGCAAACCAAAAGAAACCTTGGCAAGATTAAAACTGTGAATTCTATTTATCTATCTCCTAGTGCGGCATAGAATGAAAAAAAATAATAATAATAACATTCTGAGATTTCGAGTTAGGTCAAATGGATAAACAATACTAAAAACCAAAAAAATGTTAGTTATGGACATTTTTCATAAATCACAAATATTAGCATAACAATGCATATCCTGGATAGGACTGTCTAACAAATATCATGGATTCCCCACTTAAAAAGTAAAACATTCTCTTGACTGGATACGGAGAATCAGCAGACTGCAATTGCATAAAGCGTACAAGAAAACATTCCCCGGATGAATGGAATGAAGCTCAGGACTCGCGCCAATCTCAAGTTCTAATACAAGTCCATACACACTGTATTTTACTGTATCATGAGGAATAATAAGATTTTAGTATCATGTAATGTGTGCATTTGTGTGCATGTACGTATATAAAACAGACCAATTATTAAGGCCAATATGTAGTTCAACAAAGGCGAGGCAATAATTTGCAAAAAGAAAAGAAAAAATGAGAAGGAGCACACTCGTATCATTGCTTTGGACCATGAGCTTACGTCGATGGAATACCCAGAAACTGGGACGTCTCATGTTATGCAAAGAGGCCTACATATTATGTAAAGTTTAACAAGGAAAGAGAAACTGAAAATGAAGAACATGCATACAAGAGAAAGGGCTGTCAGCATACGAGGAAAGAAAAAACAACAAAAAGGAAAACAAAAACACTTCGAAATGCATTAGAAATAATTAAAAGCATGAACTATTTGCCATCTAGCATGCAAGAAAACAATAAAAATCATGGAAACAGCATACATAAAGAAAAGTCAGCAGTAGAAAAAGAGGATAATTGGTACCAGGTTAAGGTGGTGAACATGCGTCAAAACCTTCAGCTCAGCAAGAAATTCCCTTGTCGCTTGCATATCCATTTTCTTAATCGCAGCTTTCTGCAAAGAAATTTGTTACAAGAAAAATTGATAACAATATTACCCTACAACAGATACTTGACATTGGTAATTCACCTATTCCAAATTGTTGAGGGTAACAATTTAAATGCATATGTAGTATTGAGTATAATTTCTTCTTTTGCTTTAATGTGGTATCCACAACACAAGAACTGGGCCGACCTAGATTGTAAAAGTTGGAAGTAACCGCTAATCATTTGAAAATTATATGTAGTAGCGCTACTCGTTGGATAAAATTTTATGAATAACCACTAAAACATAGGGGAAGCATTTGAATTCTACTTGGAGAAATTTGATTTATTCTCAATTAACGAATTCAGAACAAAGGAGATCACTTTGGCCGTTAAGAGTAGGTAAGGAGCATTTCAGTTTGTGATCTGGGATGAATAAATGATACTAGAGATGAGAGAATCAAGCATACCAATCGGAAAGACTAACCCTATCCATAATGATGTACCGGATCTTACAATTTGTAGAGAACTGTTATATTGAAACTTGTAATTCTTTTGAAACCAAAGTTTAGTAGCAAAAAATTACTGCATATTCATCTGTTTAGATCCCTTATGGCCTTTAGTCATTGACCCTTATTACAGTTAGATGTAAAGACTCAATGAAGAATGGTGACTTGAGGAAGAAACTATGTGAAGAAACTCCCAATTCATCCCTAAAACTTATCCCTAAGGGCATGCTTGGGAATTTTTTTCACCACTGTTGACCGATTTTGAATGGTACCATTTATGAGGGGTTAGAAAAATCGATGCTCACTAGTTTTTTTGAACACCGATTTTGGATTGTTTTCAAATAACCCGAAATCAGTATACTATAATTTTGACAATTTCTCTCAACCTCTCAATTTAGTGGGTTTTGAATGTTTCTCATATTGTCGTCTAATTTTACCATTTATAAAATAATTATTTTCAACTAACATAGTTTGTTGAAAACTGACTTGTAAATAAAAATGCATTAAATAAAAAAGTATTTATATGCAAAAAAATTACTTTTTAATTTAAAAAATTATTTATAAGTAAAAAAAATTACTTATAAGATAAAAACTACTTTTGTGTAAAATTTGTTTATAAAGTAACAATACTACTAATAAAACAAAAATTCACTTATAAAATATAAAAAAAGTTAATTTTTCAATAAAAAATTACCTTTAATTGTAAAATTTACTTATAAGTAAAAAATATAATCTTAAAATTTTAAGTAGATATTTAACTTTTTAATAAATATTAACTTATATGAAAATTTTACTTATAACTAAA